TCAAGCAACCCCTCCCCTGGATTTCTCAGCCGTAGTTTGGGCTTGGGGTGAGTCTGCCCGGCCCCTGCCACAGCAGCAATGCTCCTCGCAGGGCGGTTTGCCACAGGTGGGGGCCTGAGGGCCTGCAATGGGGCAAGGGGAGCTTGCCCCCGCTCTAGCAGAGCCATGATTTCCCTCGCCCCTCGCCAGCCCGTGGGGTGCGCTCTGCCCCTGTGGGACCAGGAGGGGGGCTCCAGGGGTTTGCTAGCAGGCTCCAGGCAGCCTAAAGGAAACGAGGCTGCGGCTCCTTTGCTCCTCCGCCCCCCGGGGCCATGGTGTCTGCTCTGGCCTCCTCCCACGGCTGCAGGCAGGGGTGGGGCTAGGCCGAGGGAGTGTTCACTGGACAGGCCCACAGGCGGGGGGGGGGGGGGTTGTGCTGCTGCCACAGGAGGCGTCTGCAAAGCCTTTCAGCCCCTGCAGCCCAGCGCCAGCAGCGCCCCACAGAAGAGCCAGCACGGGCGGGTGGACGGACAGCCCTGCGGGGCAGCCAGGAAGAGCAGCTGGAGGCAGGGTCACTGGTGCAGACGGGAGCCGGGCTCCCCGCGGGGGGGCGGGACCGGAACACAATTCACTGCCCCCACCTGCTTTTCTGCCCCGCCGGGCACGCGGCGCCGCCAGGCGGTGGGGGAGAGGGGTTCCCTTGGAAACCAGAGGCTGGGCGGAGGGGCGGGCAGGGGGGCAGCCTACCGGGGCGGGCAGCAGCACGTGTACGCGCCGGCCGGGATCGGCCCAGGACGGCTCCGGCCTGTGTCTAACCGCCCCAGGGGCTAGACAAACACCCATCGACCATTGCACAGCCCAGGGCCGGAGCCACCCCTGCTTCGGCATTGGCCAGAGGGAAAGGGGCTCCGGGGGTGGCAGCCCCGGGCCCAGCCGCGTGGCACGAAGCGCCGCAGGCCGGCTGTGGCTGAGCACGCCGCTTTGCAGTCACAAGCACGAGGGGGGAAGAAGCCACCAGGCACCAGGCACCCGCCTTCAGCCACACGGGATCTGCTTGTGCGGCGCACGACCCGCACTGGCCAGGCACCCTGGGACGCGGAAACACACGACCCGCACTGGCCAGGCACCCTGGGACGCGGAAACACACGACCCGCACTGGCCAGGCACCCTGGGACGCGGAAACACACGACCCGCACTGGCCAGGCACCCTGGGACGCGGAAACACACGACCCGCACTGGCCAGGCACCCTGGGACGCGGAAACACACGACCCGCACTGGCCAGGCACCCTGGGACGCGGAAACACACGACCCGCACTGGCCAGGCACCCTGGGACGCGGAAACACACGACCCGCACTGGCCAGGCACCCTGGGACGCGGAAACACACGACCCGCACTGGCCAGGCACCCTGGGACGCGGAAACACACGACCCGCACTGGCGCAGGGTGGGGGGAAGGGCCCACCCCCCGGCCAGCCCCAGCGCCAGGGGAACGCCCCGCGTCTGGCTCTTGCACAGAGCACCCCCAAACCGAGCCTGGCCCTGTGCCGGAGGGGCCTGGCAGAAGGGCCCGGGGACAATATGACAACCCCGAGTGCCAGGACGGGGCTGAGCGAGCTGCTGGCCCCCGGCCCCCGGCAGAGAGGTAACAGCGACAGCAACACACCAGGAACGGCGACACGGTGGGGCTAGTACATGCAGGAGGGAGCTGAGTCCTGCCATTGTGGGCAGGGCCCCAGCTCAGGGAGCCGTCACTGGCTGCTGCTAGGGCTCTCCCCATTGGTGAGGGTCTTAAAGTCCATGGACAAGGCCAGCTCCTCAGCTGCGGGCGGCCGCTTCCACTCCTCCCGCGTCAGGATGTAGCCGATCACCAGCCCGAAGGCGACGAGCAGCAGGCCCAGGACGTTGGCCAGGATCCCTTCAGGCACGAAGGAGCTGTAGGTGGTCCTGCAGGAGCAGAGAGGGGCGGCGCTGAGGACAGAGGTTCCCTCCCTCGGGCAACTTGCAGAGGAGGAAAATGGCCGCACTGCCCTGTACCACCCTCCCCCCACTACAGCAACCGGGCTGCCCCCAGCCACTTACGGGAGCGTTTCCCTCTCTCCTGCGCATCCTAGGGGCCAGGGCCAGGAATTCCTGGCAACCTCTGGTGTGAGATGGCCAGGGCCTGTCCTAACGGGTGGCTCCCACCCCAGCGGCAGCGTGTGTATGGGGGGAGCAGCAGAGCCACATGGAGCCGGACTGCAGCAGGGTTTCCTACAGCTGGGTCCAGCTCAGAGGGGTGAGCTGGGGGGGGTGGGGCCTGCAGTGAAGGGCTCTTGCAGCTCCCAACCATTCCGGGGCTGCTGGTAACAGAGATCTGACCCCACCCAGCCTGCACCTGTGAGGGGGAGCAAACCAGGAAACAGCCCCAGCTTTGCCACGGGCTAGCGGATGCCAGCTGAGAAGAGAATCTGGGCTCAGCTTTGCCACGGGCTGGCGGATGCCAGCTGAGAAGAGAATCTGGGCTCAGCTCACTGGCTAGAGAAGGTCTAACAGAGTTTTCTGTCTGGGGGAATCAGCAACGTTTGGAAATCGCTTTGTTCCAAGTCAGGCTGAGAATCCCAACCAGGAAAACTAAACCCAGGCAAGAGAGAGACATTGCAACCGGGGCCCCTGGCGCCAGCCTGCAGAAAGGAGACCAGGGCAGTTCTGTCCGTCAAACAACCCTGGAACACTTCAAGCTGCATTTTCTGACGGCCGCTTGTCGTGTGTCGGCTTCCAGCTGCAGGGTCCAAGAAGAGCTGGATAGATTCAGGGAGGTTAAGCCCATCCGTGGCTGTTAGCCAGGCTGGTAGGAATGGTATCCCTCGCCTCTGTTTCTCGGGAAGTGGGAGACTGGAAGGATCACGTGCGGATTCCCTGTTGTGATCCCTCCCTCTGGGGCATCTGGCATTGGCCGCTGTCGGCAGACAGGACACCGGGCTGGATGGACCGTTGATCTGACCCAGTCCGGCCGCTCTTACGTAGCTCCCGTCACTAAGGGCCGGTGGGTCTCCCCCCAGTCAGGCTCTGCTGGCGCTGGCCAGTCTCCTCTGTGTATCTGCCGCAAAGGGCCTCTAAGGGGCTGAACCAGGCAGGGGCTGGACCCCCCCCCCCCCAAGGCTTTGAGGTGTGAGGGCCCGAACGCTGAGGGTGGATTGAAGTCTGGGTCCAGAGCGGCACGTGCCCAGGGTTCATTTTCCAAGCTCATGGGGGGGTTGTGAATTCCCACAGGCAGAGGCCACAGCCCTGACGCGTCTGTCACTTGCCTGATGCTGAAGAGCAGCAGCTCCAGGATGCCCAGCAGGCAGGCGGCGATGGAGAGGACGAGGAGGAAGGCGCCGAAGAAGACGTGCTGGGCTTTGTACTTGCTGCGGAGCGAGAAGGATGCTCCAGGGAACAGGAAGAAGCTGAAGCCCAAGAGCCACTGGAGGGGGGAGAAGTGCAGAGGGGCTGAGGGCACCTTCCCCCGGGTTCTCCACTGGAATTAGGTGCTAGTACAGCAGGCCTCGGGTAGCAGAGCAAACCACACAAGGCCCGGGGATCATGGGCCAGTCCAGCCTCGCCCTGCCGCAGGCTGACACCGGCACCAGCTCCTGCCGGCAGCCCAGGGGATTCAAAACAAATCCACCAGGGAGTGACATGCCCAATGACTGAACAAGGAGCCCTGCCCCTCAGCCTCTGCTCTAACCACTGGAGCGCGCTGCCAGTCAGGCCCAAACGGGTCCCCCTGCGAGGCAGGATGGAGCTCACCTCCTCCCCCTCCTCACCTGGAGGAAGTAGAGGCTGAAGGCGGTGATCCCGCACCAGCTGTGCAGGCTGTACATGTCCGCAAAGCCCTGCTTCCTGTGGTAATCGAACACGGCGATCACACCTGCGGAAGGGGTGGCTGGTTAGAGAAGGGCCCCCGTGCATTATCCATGTGCCCCTCGCCTCCCTCAGGGCTAACGAGGCCAGTTGCAGGATACGGCCCCGTCAGCTGTGGGTACGTCACTGGCCTAATTCGTTATCGGCGCAGTCGCATGACATCCCCCGCCCCCAGCATGGGCAGCGGAGCCCCAGCCACGGGCCCCGAGCCTGGGGAGCAAGAAAAGCTTCCCCATGCGGGAACCGCTGAGCTCTGGGACCCCTCCAGGCAACGCAGCCGGGACGGTCCTGCCAGGCCACCTTCCGCGGAGACTCACCCACGAGGGCGATGACCAGCGCGAAGGCGTGGAGCAGCCCGTGCAGGATCTTGGCAGAGCGCTTGCTCTCGTTCCTGAAGACCCGGTAAACCAGGAGAGCTGGCGGAGAGAAAGGGGCATGAGGGGGCGGGGGCGGGCAGGGACCAGCCTCCTCGGCTCTGCAGCCCACAGCCAAGGGCACCGGCCGGACCAGGCAAGCTACACCCATCACAGGAAGCCTGGGAGAGCCGAGCAACGAATGTCTCGGAGCCGCTGGAGGAGGCGGCTGGCTCGTGCTGCGGGAGCGTAAGCACTTGCTCTCCCCGCTGCCGTGTCCAGATTGAATTTGTTGGGATTCATCTTTTCATTGCGCCACGGGGACCGGCCGGGGGCACCTGCTGATGCACGTTCCCCAGCCCGGCTCTGACCAGACGCAGCCCAAGCGGCCATCTGGGAGACAATTACCGCCCCCGGCTCTGCACAATCACATCAGCGTGCGACAGGGCGGGGAATGAGGTCGGCCTCCAGGCCCGAGTCCAAAGTGCTCCGCGAGCCACAGCGCTGAGAGCAGAGACCTCGCCAACGGAGTCACAGCACCGGCCCCAGAGAGGGGGCTGGGGGATCTGGCAGCAGGACTGGCTTTAGGGAAAATGGTGCCCCGGCCCCTGTGGGCAGAGCAGCAGCAGAGCCGGGCCAAGCTACGGGCTGACTGGGCTACCGCCCGGGCGTCCCATTGTAGGAGGCGCCGCCCGGGGCTGCCGGACCAGGTGGGGCTGCGCTCCTGAGGTGCATGAATGGCTCGGGCCGGCCCTGAGCACCACCCATTTCCCCTGGCACCCACGGGCTCCCCAACCACGGCACCCCCAAGCTGTGCTTGCTTTACCACTAACTCCTGCACTGTGCCCCTTTGCCCGACCTCTGCACAGCGCCCAGCCCCTGCACTGTGCTCCCACCTGTGCCCCCAGCCCTGCCGCACTGCCCCCCGCCCAGTGCCCTGCACCCCCTTTGCCCAGCAACACCCAAGCCCAGTTGCCCCTCGCCCTCTGGGCATGGGCCCGTTTGCCCAGCCCTGTCTGGTAGCACCCTAGTCCAGCACCCCAGAAGAACCTGTCCAGACCCAGTGCTGCCAGGATCGGTGCACCTGTTACCACAGCTGCAGGCCCCGCTGCTAACACTGGGGGCCAGCTTTGTCCTTGGCCGGGCCGGGCAGCTGCTCCTGGCCCCAGTTCCCTTCTTAGCCCCACAGCCCTGCTGCTGCCGAACCACAGCTGGGCAAGGGAAGGCCAAAAGCCAGAGGCCGTGGGAACCAGGAGTAACTCCACGTTTCAAGCTTGGCACACGCAGGCTTTCCAGCAAAGGAGCCGGAGGCGCCTGTGGCAGGGGGCTGAGAAGCCTGGTGGAGGCAGGTCGCATTCTCCTCTTAGCCCTCCGGCACCTCAGCATCCGGAGCCCCGCTTACCGTCCCCTTGGAGGAAGACCATGCCAATGACCATGCAGAGCGGGTGGACGTTGAACTGCAGCAAGTTTTCCCAAGCAATCCCGCCCCGGTACTGGCCCATCCAGGCTCCTGTCATGGCGACCACGGTCAGACCCAAGAGCTGAGAGATGGCCAGGTAACAGGAGAGCCCTGCTGGGGTTGGAGGCCTGGAGAGACTGTCGTCCATGCTGGGTGGAGCCAGTGGCCGTCCTGGGATGGAAGCTCAGGCTGCAAGAAGATGGAGACGGAGATGAGCCTGCAGAACGCCAGCAGCTGGGAGCACCGGGCTGCCCACAGGCACCAGACACATCGCTCACGCCACTTCTCCAGGGCTGCGGGCTCCGCTCAACCAGCCTGGACTTGGCGCCCATTTGCATTTCGAGAGGGGGCAGGATCAGAAACCTGCTATCTAGGCCCATCCCTCGTTCCCAGCCCACCTGGACTCAGAGACAAGTCTCCCCAGAGCAGCTTGCAACTGCTTCAGGCAGGACCTCGGACCCCTAATCCCGACCCGCTCACAGCCCCAGCAGTGCCCACAGAGCTGGCCAGCCCAGAGGCCCTGGGTCCAGGCCTTCACCCACTGAGCTTTGCAATGCCAGTCCTGCTCCGAGCTGGGCCTAGCGATGCGCAGCCACATCCCTGCATTGTTGGCATGGCAACAGGCAGCACCAGCTCTTGGAGTGGATGGCCTTGTACGACATTTAACGGGAAGGACGCAGCCCCAGGGGGAGGCAGGCTGGCTGTGATGTCCACACTGCAAAGACAAACCCACGGTGCCAAGGCCCAGGCCGGTTCTGTCCCATCACAGAACTGGGGCAGAACTGACTTTGTAGGTTTTCACAACGTCGAGGCCACGTTCTCTGACCAGGAACCAAACCCGGCCTGGGCTGCTGGGCTAAACATAACAACAGAACATCTGCGCTGCCATTTTATCCCTGCGGCAGCCCCGTCTGCACAAGCCTGAATCAATTGTCCAGGCTCAGTGACTCAAGGCCAGGGGGTTTCCTTGTGCTCTTACCGTATGCCTGGCCAGGATCCCCCACCACTGGTTTTCCTTTTGGAGAGAGAAGGGAGGCGGCCAGGAACAGGACAGGCAGGCTTGGCAGAAGAGTCTCTCTTGACCAGCTTAGCAGCTGCTTTCAGTATCAGCCCTCATTGGCCAACCCTGCTCCAGCCCTGATCTGCCAGGAGATGCATAAAAGCTTCCTGGTTTGCCTAGAACCAGGCCAGATTAGCTTGGGGTGTTAAGAGGATCAATTGATCGCTCACATGCTCACCTGGTGCAGCAGGTCTGGCTACATGACTCAGCCCAGCTGTGGTAACAGTCACAGCTAAGGATTATGAAATTGAACTAACTTTCCTTTCCTTACCCACCGCTGTATCCTGCCCAGAGCCTTCTCTCGTCAAGCAATCGCTCCCTTTTGTCCTCACTGGGCTTGCTCGTGCCGTCTCTCCAGCTGATGCCTCATGTCTGTCTTATTTATATCATGGACTCTTTGGTTCTGTTTGTACAGCAGCTGGCTATGACAGGGTCCCAGGCCATGACTGGACTCTGAGGTAGGACTGCAGGGAAACATTCATACGACTGGGCTTATAAAGCGTAACATGAATGGGTCTCACTGGGGTGGCAATTTGGTGATTTTCTTAAAGCCCAGCTCCTGGCCTCGGGGTGAGACTCCCAGCTTTCTTTTACAAAGCAAGTTGATAGCACACAAATGCAGAGAAAAAGCTTGAAAACCTGAATCCTAAAGGCTTCAAAACATAAAAACTGTAACCTGAGGAGATTTAAGCCAATCCAGGGTGCATAAAACAATCATTTTTGGAGGGGGGGGAAAAAGAGAATATTGGATTTTTGTGGTTATTTAAACACCACATTTCTTGGTTTTTTTAATAAATCGGTTCAGTTTAATCCATTTTGATACAATACACATTATAATCACGCAAAACATGTGAATAAAAATGAACACTGGGACCATGGACCTCTAGCCAAGATTTAGAGGAAAAAGCTGATTTTCTATATAAAGGAGGAGTCAGGCTGGAAATATCTAACTTTGGAGGTCAAGGGTTATGAACATGACACAACAGATCATGTTCTGTATTAAAGGCTTGCTCCTAAGAGGGGCCCAGGGATGGTAGAAATAGGAAAAGTCATCACCGGGCACTGGGACCTGGCCTCGGACACCAAGAGATACCGTCGTGTATCTCAGGTTCAGCCACTGAGCCTGCCTGGGTGGTCACATCCTCCTAGTTGATAGCTTCTCCCAACCTGAGGTCTGCGTGGCTCAGTTCTCAAATAGTTATGGCTCCACCCACCCCAGAAGAACTCTCTGGATCACGGAGAATCGCTGACGGGCCCGCTGCCTACCAGCCCTTGATTGGACGGGTCTTGCACTTCAAGTAAGTAGCCTTACTCTGCCTCTTCGCATGTGTACACAGATACACAAAGAGAGAGAAAACCCTTTGTTTCTCAACTGCCTCGCTCCATCTGCAGACATAAAATACTGCAGCACAACAGGCATGTGGGTTACGTGAGCAGCCATCTTGGATTGCTGCTAGTTCTCTTTCTGATGTTAGCCTGGGGAGTTATGTAACAAGGGAGAAGCAGCCACACACGCACCCAGAAAGGAGCAACATTGACACAATGGGATGAAGAATGTTGTGCCTTCGGAGTCTTGTGTTTCGTTTCGATTTCAACATCAGGGATCTGATGTGGGGAGCGTAGTAGTTCAGGACAGCAATACAATCAATTCAGGACTCACTGGTGTGGTGTTTTGACAGGTCTCCTGCTCCGTCAGCAATGATAACCATTCAGCGGTGTGCACCTTTGTATGCTTTCTTAGTATATCGTGCCAGCTCCGAACAGGTAGCTAACAAAATAGACTTCATGAGAGCCCCCGAAGACCACAGACTCAGATAAGATACGAAGGCACCCGAGTCAGGTTTATTGTTGAATGAAGCACGTTCATAGGTGTCGGTAGCCAGATGGCCTCCGAGCCGCTACATATTTGTACCCAGAACGATGGATGCATCTTAAATGATTATTAGATTGTCACTTTGCTAGATTATTTACAGACATTCCTTTGGAAGAGGTTCATTTCTTCTTTGGAAAGGCTTAGAATTTTTTTTATACCACTTTTCCTTTTTAGCATTTTTACAACACTTTAATTGCCCAATTACTTCCAGACTCCGCCGAGTTAACTTCTCACTTAAGTCACTTCATTTTTCCTTCAAAGGAAAAGCTTAGATATCACCGTTTTAAGTATTGTTCCAAGAATTTAAATTTCCAGTGCCTGTACTCACTGCTTTCCCTTGTTTTTGCCACTGTGTCCTTAGGGATCCAAACTTGCCTGCTTATCTGGGCCACATCCTGCTTTCCCTGCTGAATGGCCCCTTTCCATGGACACAGGCTTCTTCCACTACTAATTTAGCAAGCAGGGTGGGCTCTTTAACGCGCCCCCACCCGTCCTGCTTCCTTTTCTTGGGTAAATCCAAATGTTCATTTCGGCAGTCAGCTATTTTTTTAAAAACACCTCCTTACAGGGTTTTTTTTAGAACAGCCAGACTGAGGCAGTAGCTCTCTTGATTGAGGTTAAGGGCTTGTAAACCAGTAAATATTTCGCCAATTTGTTTTTAAGGTCTGCATGGTATAAACATGAGCTAAGCTTCTTCAGACCATGAGCTATGCCCAAACTTTTGCAATATTTGTTTTAAGGATGTACTTTACTACTTCTCCTTTCCAGGAGGGGTCTCTTTCTGCATCTTCGCACCCATGCGCCCCGTTTGGTTTTAATAGCCATTTTTACTCTTATTTGCTTTGTACCCTTCAGACCCTAAACAAGGGTCGAATGGAGATGCTAAGCTTTGTCCCGTTGGGCTTGCCCCTCATCCGACTGTGGTTCCAAAGCAGTGGATGCCGTCTCATCTTAAATTTGCCAGGGCCACCTTTGTCCATTTCTCTTCCCATTCTTCAGGCACTGTACAAGTGCTTGCAATCTGGTGTTTAACAACAGGGGATGGTGCTTTCCAGGTTTTTAACAGCTTAAGAATGGCCATACTCGGTCAGAATAACGGTCCATCTAGCCCAGTGTCCTGTCTGCCCACGGTGACCAATACCAGATGCCCCAGAGAGAGGGATCACAACAGGTAATCAATCTTCACGTGATCCCTCCCTTGTCACCCACTTCCAGAGAAACAGAGACTAGGGACACCATCCCTACCTATCCTGGCTAATAGCCATTGGTGGACCTAACCTCCATGAATCTATCTAGCTCTTTTTTGAACCCTGTTAAAGTTCTAGCCTTCACCACATCCTCTGGCAAGGAGTTCCACAGGTTGACTGCACTGAGTGAAGAAAAATTTCCTTTTGTTTGTTGTAACCCTGCTGCCTATTCATTTCATTTGGTGACCCCTGGGTCTTTTATCGCGGGAATAAGTAAATAACTTTTCCTTATTCACTTTTTCCACACCCGTCATGATTTTATAGATCTCGATCATATCCCCCTTAGTCTCCGCTTTTCTAACCTGAAAAGTCCAAGTCGTTTTAATCTCTCTTCATATGGGACCCGTTCCAAACCCCTCATCATTTTTGTTGCCCTTTTCTGAACTGCTTTTTCTGATGTTATATTTTCCTGCTTTACTTGTTCGAGCAATCACATGTCTGGCCTGCCTGTTGCCCTGCCAGCAGAGCCCGAACCTTCCAATGCTCGACAGCCTGTGTTGCTTCCTCTATTTCTCTATTTTTTCATTTAGCTGGGAAGCTAGTCTAGTGGAATGCTGTTTAAGCCATCTTACGGCCATAGACATCAATTGCAAAGTTCTAGCTCTTTTACTTGTATTACTACCGTAATTTAGCGAATATACCCTGCTCTTATATTCATTTTTACAAACCCTGCACCCCCCTTTCCCTCTCCCCCAGAGGCTGGAGGCTGTACTGGAACCTGGGGCGGTGAGTGGCTAATCCCCGCTCCCCGCTGCACCATAAATATACCCCCCAGCAAATATACCCCTGGCACAGAAAAGTCTTGTATAGCCGGTGGGTTATATTTGTGCTTGGGGGATACAAGATTTTTTTTACTTAAATAGAAAAAACTACAGGGTATATTCGGGTGTGGGATACATTCGCTAAATTACGGTATTCTTTAGAGCTTCAGTTTCTACCATTGCTTTACAAATGCCTGTCCATGTTCCCACACTTTCTTTTTTAAATTCAAATGAACCCCCTTCACTGGCAAACCAGTGGGTCCATGCTTCCTCAACCTCACGGGGATTTTCAGGGGAGAAGATTAGGGGGTTCCCAAACTCGTGGCTTTCTGCCATGTTAGATGGCGATTCTTACAGCAGACCGCTCGCTTACTTTCCAAGTCACGTCGTGGTCACCAATGTAGCAGTTCAGGACAGCGATACAGTAAATTTAGGATTCACTAGTGTGGCACCCTGACACATCTCCTGCTCCTGAACATTCGGCTGTGTGCGTTTTCATATGCTCCCTCAGTATATCCTGCCAGCTCTGCGCAGGTAGCTAACACAATAGACTTCACAAGAGCCCCTAAAGGCCACAGACTCAGATAAGATACGAAGGCACCCGAGTCAGGTTTATTGTCGGTAGCCAGATAGTCTCTGAGCCCCTACATATTTGTACCCGGGACAATAGGCATGGCTCAATCGATAGTATGGAGTTCACTATCGCCCCCTAGGCCGGCCAAAGAATTAAGTGAGGTACCCAAACATTTACAGACAGAAATGAACAATCTATGATACCCACCATACGTAGCATCTTATGCATTAATAACATGTGTGGTACCTCCCCTTGGACTTTCCTCCAAAGCAGTCACTGCTCATTGTTCTGCTTTCACTCTTGTTGTTTCAAACTATTTTATCATGTACTCAGCTGGGTGTCCTGTACTGTCCTGATGGTATGTTTGTACATATTTCATGTACTTTTATCAGTGCTCGCAGTTCCGGTGCAGAGACACACTGTCTTGCCCGCAAACATTTGCTTTTGACATGGCCTGTCTGTTACTCATTGTATATCTCTTGCTTACTTTGGTTCAAGCACCAGCCCCATGCTTCAGCCTCTTTCTCTCTCCTACACTGGGGAACTTCTCATAGCTGCAGGTTATAAATAAAATCCTCTTTGGGAATTTTTCAAGAAAATCTTGTTCTTCTGGGTGGAAAAAAGGAACATGGGCCAAATGTAAACTGTGTAAAGAAGAGATCCAAGGCATGTTGTCAGAACAAAGACCCTTCCAGTTCTATGATTCTAAGAGATCATCTACTCCAGTCCCCTGCCCTCACAGCAGGACAAGCACCACCTACACCACCCCTAACAGCTGTCTGCCTAATCTGCTCTTAAATATCTCCAATGATGGAGATTCCACAACCCCCCTAGGCAATTTGTTCCAGTGTCTAACCACCCTGACTGATAGGAAGTTTTTCCTAATGTTCAAGCTAGCCCTCCCTTACTGCAATTTAAGCCCAATGCTTCGTGAATGAACTGACATATGAAAAAAAATACTCTTCACAGGATTCTGAATTTGATGATGACATGGACATGTCTGAACTAT